GATAGTTGTCTGGGTCTGACAGAGCCCGGCGCTTGTGGAGAGGGAAGATCCAGTGTACGCACCAGGAAGCTGGCCACTGAGAACAATGGATGATCTGCCGAGCAAGAAGACATACTGGCAATGCTAATTCGCGTGCGCAAAGCTTTAAAACTCGAGCAGGGACCAAATCAGGCCCAGTGGCGCTGTCCAAACGCAACTCCTGGAGCACGGCCCCGGCGACACGCAATCGCACTCTTAAAAAAGCATTCGAATCAGTCGGCACTAAAGGAGCATTAAACACAGAAAACTCATTTACCACAATATCTGGCAAACTCCATTTGCTAGAGAAACTTGCTGCTAAAAGCTCTGCCTTTTCTATGCTGGTGATAGCCCACGATCCGTCTGGATACTTCAAAGGCGAGCTGCTTGGTTTTCCTGTTCTGCACAAAATAGAATCAGAAAGTTTCCACCACTGCTTGCTGCCACGGCGCATGTTGCGGAGACGCAACCGCGTGCGCTGAACGAAAGCCTCGTGTGCAGAGAGCAGGGCATCACTGCACCGGCGGCAAGCGAGGGGGAAAAAATCCGTGCCAGAAACGCGCCTCTTCTCCTCAACTAATCGCACGCACTCCTCTGTGAGCCAAGGGTGTGATGGCCGGAACGACACAGAAGACTGTGGTATGCACTCGCGCATTAAAGACAAAAAAATATCTGTGAGGCGCTCTGCTGCTGCATCTGGTGGCTGCTGAGAAATCCATTCCCAACTGTGCTCGCGAATGCGTCGCCGAATCTGCGACCAATCCGCCTGACCATAATGCCACACATCACGATTGAGAACTTCGAGCGAGAGCGGAGGGCCAGAAAATCTGATCGACAAGCCGCGATGATCGGCGATTTCACTAACCACTTCTACCGTTATAAGTTGAGGCAAATCAGTAAACATTAAATCAATTAAATATGGACCTCTGGTAGGAGATCTGACACGCTGAAAGAGGCCAGTCTCCTGAGCCCAATTCTTCAAAAAACAACCTTCAGGAGTGACAGAATGACTGTACCGAAGCCAATGTGTATGGTGCACGTTAAAGTCGCCGACGAGAATAGCACCGACAGCCTGCGCACTGAGACGAGCATACTCACAGGTAAAGGTTCGCAAAGAATCTACTTCTCCATACTGGGGGTGTCTGTACATGCAGCCCAAAAGAATGGGTCCGGACGCGCAATGGACAAGAATCCAACATATTTCCGCCGAGGGTGAATTGAGAAGCGCAGAACAAACGCCATTCAGAGTCTCGTGCACAAAAATGGCTACACCTCCGGCCTGCTGGTGACTATCGCGTCTCGCAAGCAAACTGTAACCAGGTAGCTGAGGCGCCAGAAGCGAAGTATTAAACCAAGTTTCGGTGATACAGACGACGTGAGGAGCGGAAGAAAAGAGAGACACTCTTGCCGACAGCTCGCCTGAATGGGCATTAAAAGACCGTAAATTGAAGTAGACAATGGTGAGATCAGTAGCGTCAACGGACGGCGTCGGCTGGGAGTTGCCACAGCCACCGCCCGGAGGGGAAGAATACGAATTCGATGGCTCAAAACGCCTAAAAAATTCGTGCAACGTAAGTTGAGAAGGAGAGGCCGACGGAAACGGAGGAGGCACAACGGGAGGTAAGCCGGCTCGAAAATCGCCGGTTAAGGCGTCTCGAAATTCCGGGGTAAGGCGGCTCGAAAAATTCGGGCTAAGGCGGCTCGAAAAATTCGGGCTGAGACCGCTCGAATTCTCCAAAGTAAGGCGGCTCGAAATATCCGGGCTAAGGCGGCTCGAAATATCCGGGCTAAGGCGGCACGAAGAAATGAGCGGATTCCGGGTGAAATGCTCAGTGCGACGTCTGAGAGACGAGGCAACTGATCGAGGGCCTTTTTTTTTTTCTATGTATCTCGTAACAGCAGATGAGTCTCACCACACGCTCAAGTAAGTGAAGGCAGCTCGGCTACGACTGTCAAAAAGAGAAGCACAAAGCAGAAGAAGAAGGAGGGAAAGGAGAGGAGCAAGAGGGGAGGAGAAGAGGAGGGAGAGGAAGGGCAGCGGCAGACGACAGACGACAAGGGGGGAGGGAGGGGGAGGGAGCGAGAGGGGAGGGCCGAGCCCCGAAGAGGCAACGCGCAACGCGCGCACCCTGCGCTCCACGCAGAGCGGCCGGGGGGGAGGAGAAGGAGAAGAGGGGGAGGGACACGAAGACGGACGAACGAAAGGCGACGGCGGGACACGACGGCAGCAGACGACGAGGGAGGAGAGGAGGGGGGAGGGGAAGGGGAGAGGAGAAGAGGGAAGACGAGAGAAAGGAAGAGCTAACCACGCCAATCCCGACACCCACGGAGCGGGTGCGAAGCCAGCGGGAGGCGGGGGGAAAACGAAACCGGCCAGTCGTCAAAAAGGCGTGCACGAGCACGCACGAGATTTTGAAGGCGAGATTGAAATACGCTGACACCACGAGCGGAAACAATAAAGTCAGGGAGAAGGTTATATATGCGAACGGCACCAATCGCTGAGCGTAGGAGAAAATCTGGTGCTGTGAAGGGCGGCTCCACCAAATGGTGTCTGTGTCTTCTGGGAGCCCTGGCCGGCGGCGGCGCCGTATCCAGCTTAAAGAAGTTCTGAAAGCACGGAGGACCGAGTCCCAGAACAGCTCTGTGAATGACGCCGAGTATGCTTATGTCACGACGAGTGCAAAGGGGCGCCAGATTAAAATAAAACAAAGCGTCCGCGTCTGTCACACTCAACGAACGCAGGAAGCGAGAAAGGAGAGCGTCGAGAGGGGCTAACACAGAAGACGAAGCATGATACACGGCTGAGGTTCTGTATTCAATGTACGACAAAACGTGCGCCTTAAATAAACCGATCAATTCCGCATCGGTGTGAAAACGTCTGGTGCGCAGTAGTCGATGTATTTTCCAAGAGCACTCTACAACGCAGCTGTCGACGGCCTTGGACATGAGAAGTTTGGTATCGAACCAAATACCTAACAATTTGAAATCGTTTCCAGCAGGCTGCGCGCGTGACAAAATATGAAAACTCTCTTTGTCCGCGTCAAACTGTACTCTGTTCGCGCGGCCCCAGGTGTGGAGGGACGATTGGCACCGGCGCAGGGAAGAAAAACCGTCCACATCTGAGACGCTCGTGGAAACAGCACGCCATGCATTAAGGTCGTCTGCAAACATACCCTCTTGAAAGCACTCTGCCCGGATGGCCATGCAAGCGTCAGCGAAAAAGGTGTTCCAAAAAGGCGGCCCCCAAACAGTGCCCTGGAAAACCATGTTTTCCATGCTGAACGGGCGAGAAAGCTGGCCTCCAATCGCCACTCGCGCCTTGCGTCGGCGAAGCCAGCTGGCAAAGAGAGGCAGCAACTGGGGGGGCACGCCGGCCGACTGCAGCTTCGCACACAAGATTTCAGAATCGACTCGGTCGAAAGCGCCAGAAACATCAGAGCAGTATAGCAAGATACGGGAGCCAAGGGAGAGAGGAAGGAGCCAGGAGAGGACGTAGAATAAAACTGCGTCTCGTGCCCCATGTTCGCTACGATAAGCAAATTGCGACGGCCCATAAGCACCTAAACGCTCGAGGCGCGGCACAAACAGGCTACCGATGATGCGTTCTACTGCCTTAGATAATTGCGATGTTAAGTGCAGACCTCGATAGTTGTCTGGGTCTGACAGAGCCCGGCGCTTGTGGAGAGGGAAGATCCAGTGTACGCACCAGGAAGCTGGCCACTGAGAACAATGGATGATCTGCCGAGCAAGAAGACATACTGGCAATGCTAATTCGCGTGCGCAAAGCTTTAAAACTCGAGCAGGAACCAAATCAGGCCCAGTGGCGCTGTCCAAACGCAACTCCTGGAGCACGGCCCCGGCGACACGCAATCGCACTCTTAAAAAAGCATTCGAATCAGTCGGCACTAAAGGAGCATTAAACACAGAAAACTCATTTACCACAATATCTGGCAAACTCCATTTGCTAGAGAAACTTGCTGCTAAAAGCTCTGCCTTTTCTATGCTGGTGATAGCCCACGATCCGTCTGGATACTTCAAAGGCGAACTGCTTGGTTTTCCTGTTCTGCACAAAATAGAATCAGAAAGTTTCCACCACTGCTTGCTGCCACGGCGCATGTTGCGGAGACGCAACCGCGTGCGCTGAACGAAAGCCTCGTGTGCAGAGAGCAGGGCATCACTGCACCGGCGGCAAGCGAGGGGGAAAAAATCCGTGCCAGAAGCGCGCCTCTTCTCCTCAACTAATCGCACGCACTCCTCTGTGAGCCAAGGGTGTGATGGCCGGAACGACACAGAAGACTGTGGTATGCACTCGCGCATTAAAGACAAAAGAATATCTGTGAGGCGCTCTGCTGCTGCATCTGGTGGCTGCTGAGAAATCCATTCCCAACTGTGCTCGCGAATGCGTCGCCGAATCTGCGAGCAACCTGACCATAATGCCACGCATCACGATTGAGAACTTCGAGCGAGAGCGTCTGATCGACAAGCCGCGATGATCGGCGATATCTCATCTAGAAATCCATTCCCAACTGTGCTCGCGAATGCGTCGCCGAATCTGCGATGACCATAATGCCACGCATCACGATTGAGAACTTCGAGCGAGAGCGGAGGGCCAGAAAATCTGATCGACAAGCCGCGATGATCGGCGATTTCACTAACCACTTCTACCGTTATAAGTTGAGGCAAATCAGTAAACATTAAATCAATTAAATATGGACCTCTGGTAGGAGATCTGACACGCTGAAAGAGGCCAGTCTCCTGAGCCCAATTCTTCAAAAAACAACCTTCAGGAGTGACAAAATGACTGTACCGAAGCCAATGTGTATGGTGCACGTTAAAGTCGCCGACGAGAATAGCACCGACAGCCTGCGCACTGAGACGAGCATACTCACAGGTAAAGGTTCGCAAACAATCTCCTTCTCCATAGTGGACAAGAATCCAACATATTTCCGCCGAGGGTGAATTGAGAAGCGCAGAACAAACGCCATTCAGAATCTCGTGCACAAAAATGGCTACACCTCCGGCCTGCTGGTGACTATCGCGTCTCGCAAGCAAACTGTAACCAGGTAGCTGAGGCGCCAGAAGCGAAGTATTAAACCAAGTTTGGTGATACAGACGACGTGAGGAGCGGAAAAAAAGAGAGACAGTCTTGCCGACAGCTCGCCTGAATGGGCATTAAAAGGCCGTAAATTGAAGTAGACAATGTGAGATCAGTAGCGTCAACGGCGTCGGCTGGGAAGCGCCACAGCCACCGCCCGGAGGGGAAGAATACGAATTCGCTGGCTCAAACCGCCTAAAAAATTCGTGCAATGTAGGTTGAGAAAGAGAGGCCGACGGAAACGGAGGAGGCACAACGGGAGATAAGCCGGCTCGAAAATCGCCGGTTAAGGCGTCTCGAAATTCCAGGGTAAGGCGGCTCGAAAAATTCGGGCTAAGGCGGCTCGAAAAATTCGGGCTGAGACGCTCGAATTCTCAAAGCAAGGCGGCTCGAAATATCCGGGCTAAAGCGGCTCGAAATATCCGGGCTAAGGCGGCACGAAAAAAAGAGCGGATTCTGGTTGAAATGCTCAGTACGACGTCTGAAAGACGAGGCAACTGATCGAGGGCCTCGCCGTCGAATTCGACCTTGAGGGGGCCGCACGCTACTCACAGAGTGAGGGGCAGCAGAACAACCAAAAAGGAGAGGACAAGAAGGAAAATGTGAACAAAACTGCGTGCGACCCCGCGCTTTCTACAAAGAAAAGTCGCTATGAGGCGCTAGAAACTTGCCTGTCAAACCCGCTGGTTCCTGCTTAAACGCAGGAACAGCGTCGACTGTCACTACGCGAGACTTCCAGTCGATCTGAATGACACTCTGGGGAACCCTTGTCTTCAACTTTTTCTCGGACTCGCGCAGGGCCCAATCTCGAGTGGCGTTTAATCGGGATTTAACGGGTTTCACAGTCAAGCGGCCAGAAGAAGTCTGGAACACTTTTCCCTTGCCACCACAGATTGCAAAAATGCACGAGCATCGCGTTCACTTACAAACTGCGCAAAAGATGCCTTTGACATCTGCTGACTGTTCCGTGGTCCACTGAAAAAATGCCCATCATGAGCCGGCTTCACAGAAAGATTTGAATCATTCACAATCTTGGTCACCTCCTCGACGCGCTTGCACAGGTCAAGAGTGTCGAAACCGGTGAATGCAATCTGCAAATTCGAAACGTCCAGGAATTGAGAAGGGACAGGTGTCGCGCACTCAAAACTGATGACGAGGATGAAACCGGTCGAGATTCGAGGGCAGAAAGGCGAGAACGTACATCGGCCATCTCGTCCTTGATCGGTCAACTGCCCTAGCGATCTCCATCTTCGTCGCCTTCATGATGTTGATCTGGCTCTTGGTGACTTCCTCTTTTGTGGCTAGGGACGACATAACGTTCAAAATTCCAGCTTCTCCGAATCCGTGAGGGGTGCTCCGCTCGATGCTGCAGACAGACCGGTTCCATACTGAGAAATGCTCGATTTCGCCGTCACGCTCGCCGCCGCATGCAGAAGGACCACGCCCTCGCCTGAACATGCACCGCTCGAACCGATAGAATCGGGAGTGGGGGCGCCAACCGAAACGGCTGCGCTCGGCGGGGGGGCCGGAGCACTGTGTGGCGGCGTGCTCGGCAGGGCCTCACTGCTCAGAACACCTAGAAAAGGTGAAGCAGGAGCGAATCCGCCAGCTGAGACGCTGGCCGACTCATCCATCTGCGTCAACGCCTCTGTCTCCCGACGACTCTCCGGCGAAAGCGCGGCCTGTACAGCAGCCTTGCGCGCTGACAATCGCGCGAAAGGGTTCTCGTGGCTCTTCTCGAACTGATTCTTCACGACGCCAGGAGCTGCAGCCGAACCAGACATGGCGGAAATATCGAAGGATCGAGAATTAATGCTTCAGCAGAAGCTCACTGAAACTGGTGGGCGACCGCTCCAGCGACAGGCAAACATAAACTGCCTTTACCTTGGCAGCTTGAGCTCGTGCCACAACAGCTTGAGCCACAACAGCGAAGTGAATCGAAAACCATAAACGAACCAAAAAGCAGAAACATGTAAAAATAGGAGAGGGAAAAAAAAAAAAAAAAAAAAAAAAAAAAAAAAAAAGGAAAAGGAAAGCGCGAAACAAATACCGATGTAAAAATTTTAAATAAAAGCTTTGAGGACGACAGAACACAACCAAATGTCCATCCCTTGAAAAAATGAAAACAACACAGAAAAAAAAACGATAGAAAGAGGCAGAAGCGAGAAAGGGGAAAAAAGGAAACAAGGAAAAACACAACAGAGAAAAAAAAAGACAGCAATAGCCGACGGCCGACGACCATAAAAAAAAAGAGGAAATGAGGCAAGCGGGAAGCCCAAACCCCACCGGCAACGTACGAACGCGCACCGAACTTCATCCCCGGTGGCCAGGGGAGGAGAAGAAAAAAAGAATAATCGTCTGGAGCGCTGGACGGCGAAAACCTGGCAAACTCTTTGAATGCCTTTCAAAAAAATGGAACAACTTAATTCAACGTTCCTTTTTCTGCACAACAAAACCAAAGACTGCATACAGACAACCAACCAAACTCTCAAAATTATGCGACGTGCAAGCTTGGCGAGCGAAATGGCTAACAAATTAACGTAAACTATAGCACTCGAAAGGGAATCAAATCAATCCCGGTAACTCGCATGTGACTGCATTAAAATTTCTCAAACTGCGCGAACGGATATTTGGAAAAAGAGGGCGGGAAAAACGGAGAGGACAGGAAAGAAAATAACAAAAATCGACTCGGCCTCTTGTTGTGAACAATTTTGGTTCTGTTTGATTGAAATGATTAATTTTTTCCATGCAAAAAAAACTCTACACAAATGCTAAATTCATTACTTTCTTCAAAACCAACATCTTCTCGCATTGAATATCACGCGACTGCTGTCTAACGCGTTTTTTTCTTTCCTGAAGACGCGATTTTGACTTGATTTTACATTATTTTTTCACAACTTTCCCTGTATTCAACAATGAACGCCGTGCGGATTAAAATTTGTTGGCAAATTTCTTCACAACAACTTGAAACTTAAATTACATTTGAGGACTGAAAAATATTCTCTTTGCGCCTTCTGCTTGCTTCCTATTCTCTTCGTCCGAATCGACAGAATGTTTGTCGGCTAAATGCTAAGGATCTCGCTCAGATCGCTGGGAATGCCTATGGGAATGCTTGGGATCTGGCTCAGATCCCTAAGAACCCCCATGGAATGCTAAGGATCTCGCTCAGGTCCCTAGGAACCCATAAGGAATATAAAGGATCTCGCTCAGATCCCTAGAAAATCTCTAAGGAATGCAAAGGATCTCGCTCAGATCCGTAGGAACCCTTATGAGATGCTAAGGATCTCGCTCAGATCCATAGGAATCCCGATGGAATGCTGGGGATCTCGTTCAGATCCTTAAGAATGCCTATGGGAATGCCGGGGATCTGGCTCAGATCCCTAGGAGTCCCTATGGGAATGCTGGGGATCTGGCTCGGATCCCTAAGAATCCCGATGGAATGCTAAGGATCTCGGTCCCTAGGAACCCATAAGGAATGCAAAGGTGGGATCCACCCTGGGAATCCCGAGGGAATGGTGGGGATCTATGGAATGCTAAGGATCTCGCTCAGATCCGTAGGAACCCTTATGGGATGCTAAGGATCTCGCTCAGATCCATAGGAATCCCGATGGAATGCTGGGGATCTCGCTCAGATCCTTAAGAATGCCTATGGGAATGCCGGGGATCTGGCTCAGATCCTTAGGAATCCCACCAGCCCTCTGGGCGTAGGTGGTCTAGAGCAGATCCTCTTCCACCCCTCCCTCTTCCCCCTTGGGGAGGGGTTTACCCCTCCCCCTACCCCCTCCCCTGGACCTGGACGGGGGGGGCCGCGGGTAGTTAGAGCGTCCAAGATGGCCCAAGACGGCTCCAAGAGCGCCTCAGAGAACCCAAGATGAGCTCCAAGATGGCTCAAGATAGCGCAAGATCGCTCACGATGGCTCCTAAGATGGTTCCAAGAAGCCCAAAGACGGCCCCAAGATAACTCCAAGTGGCCAAACAGCTCCCCAAGGAGGCCCCGAAGAGGCCAAAATCGTCCCAAAACCTAAGGAAAATCAATGATTTTTGCTTTCTCGCCTTTTCGCTTCCGATGGCTATCCGAGGCCTGGAGATGGCTCCAAGATGGCCCAAGAGGGCCCCAAGAGAGCCCCAAAAGAGCCCCAAGACGGCCCCAAGAGCGCCCGAGAGCACTCCAAGAGCGTTCCAAGAGGGGTCCAAGAGGCGATTTTAGGGCCTTCCGAGGGGGGGCGCTAATCCCACCAGCCCTCTGGGCGTAGGTGGTCTAGAGCAGATCCTCTTCCACCCCTCCCTCTTCCCCCTTGGGGAGGGGTTTACCCCTCCCCCTACCCCCTCCCCTGGACCTGGACGGGGGGGGCCGCGGATAGTTAGAGCGTCCCAGATGGCCCAAGACGGCTCCAAGAGCGCCTCAGAGAACCCAAGATGAGCTCCAAGATGGCTCAAGATAGCGCAAGATCGCTCGAGATGGCTCCTAAGATGGTTCCAAGAAGCCCAAAAACGGCCCCAAGATAACTCCAAGTGGCCAAACAGCTCCCCAAGGAGGCCCCGAAGAGGCCAAAATCGTCCCAAAACCTAAGGAAAATCAATGATTTTTGCTTTCTCGCCTTTTCGCTTCCGATGGCCATCCGAGGCCTGGAGATGGTTCCAAGATGGCCCAAGAGGGCCCCAAGAGAGCCCCAAAAGAGCCCCAAGACGGCCCCAAGAGCGCCCAAGAGCACTCCAAGAGCGTTCCAAGAGGGGTCCAAGAGGCGATTTTAGGGGCTTCCGAGGGGGGGCGCTAATTAAACCCCCCCTCTTGTTTGATCGATCTCCTCCAAGATGGCCCCAAGAAGCGCCCAGGAAGCCCCAAGAGGTCCCAAGATGGCCCCAAAATGGCCCCAAGAGGCCCCCAAGAGGCCCCCCGGAGGCCCCCAAGAGACCCCCAAGAGGCCCCAAGAGCCCCCCCAGATGCACCCAAGATGCTCCAAGAGGCCTCGGCGAGAATGCCTAATCATTGATTCTACACAGGTTTTAGCCACATGGAGGCCTCTTGGGGGGGGGCACGGATTAAGATGACTCCAAGAGCGTCTGGGAGAGCCCAAAATGACCTCCAAGATGGCTCAAGATATCCCAAGATGTCTCATAATGGCTTCCTCTGTGTGCTGCCCACTTCTCTGATCGAGGCAATTCCTCTGGGCATCGTTTCTGGATGGGCTGGTGGGGATTCGCGAAGCGACAACAATTGAACCCCCCCTCTTGTTTGATCGACTCCCTCCAAGATGGCCCCAAAAGCGCCCCGAAGGCTCCCCAGAGCGCCTCAAGAGGGTCCCAAGAGGCGCCCAAGATGCCCCAAGGCGCCCAAAAAGCCCTCCAAGAGGCCCTCAAAAGACCCCCAAGAAGCTCCTTCCCCTCCTCCTCCTCCTCCTCCGATTCTTCCTCCTTCTCCGTCCTCCTCCTCCTCCTCCTCCTCCTCCTCTTCCCCCTCCTCCTCCTCCTCCTCCGACGACGACGACGACGACGACGACGACTCCTCTTCCATCCTCCCCCTCTCGGGGTCTGTGACAGCTTCCCCCGCCCTTTGTTATTCTGCATGCTCCCCGACTTCCCTGATCACCTCAACTCCCCTGAGCATCGTTTCTGGATGGGCTGGTGGGGATACGCGAAGCGTCAACAATTCCTATGGGAATGCTGGGGATCCGGCTCAGATTCTAGGAATCCCGATGGAATGCTAAGGATCTGGCTCAGATCCCTAGGAACCCATAGGGAATGCTAAGGATCTCGCTCAGATCCTTAGGAATGCCTATGGGAATGTTAGGGATCTGGCTCAGATCCCTAGGACTGCCTATGGGAATGTTAAGGATCTGGCTCAGATCCTTAGGAATGCCTATGGGAATGTTAGTGATCTGGCTCAGATCCTTAAGAATGCCTATGGGAATGTTAGTGATCTGGCTCAGATCCCTCAGAATGCCTATGGGAATGTTAGGGATCTGGCTCGGATCCCTGGGAATGCCTAGGGAATGTTAGGGATCTGGCTTATATCCCTAGGAATGCCTGGGGGATGTTAAGGATCTGGCTCAGATCCGTAGGGATCCTTAGGAATGCTAAGGATCTGGTTCAGATCCATGGGAATCCCTACGGAATGCTAGGGATCTGGCTAAGATCTTTGGGAATCCCGACGGAATGGTGGGGATCTGGCTCAGATCCCTAGGGGTCCCGATGGAATGCTAAGGGTCTCGCTCAGATCCCTGGGAATCCCGAGGGAATGGTGGGGATCTGGCTCAGATCCTTAAGAATCCAAATGGAATGCTAAGGATCTC